CTTGTAAAAGTCGAGCCATTTAACTCCACAAAGAAGCGAATGGGTGTGGTACTGGAGCTTCCCGAAGGACGTCTACGAGCTCACACAAAAGGTGCATCAGAGATAATTTTGGCTGCCTGTGAGAAGGTGGTCAACTCAAGCGGTGAAGTTGTTCCCCTGGACGAACAATCCGTCAATCATCTGAATGCTACCATTGATCAGTTTGCCAGTGAGGCTCTTAGGACTCTATGTCTTGCCTACATGGAACTGGAAAATGGGTTCTCTGAAAATGATGCCATTCCTTCCTCAGGATATACTTGTATAGGGATTATAGGGATCAAAGACCCAGTACGCCCTGGAGTCAAGGAGTCTGTTGCCCTTTGTCGTTCAGCTGGTGTGACTGTTCGGATGGTTACGGGAGATAACATCAATACTGCAAAAGCTATTGCTAGGGAATGTGGGATATTAACTGATGACGGTATAGCAATAGAAGGTCCAGTTTTTCGGGAGAAGAGTATGGAGGAATTGCTCGAACTGATTCCAAAGATTCAGGTATTTCTCATACTAATCTACAAACTTGAATCTGATGATGGGCTCAAGTTCTGTTGTCTGAATGCAAGGCACAATATCATCTTCTTATTTTAAGTCAACAGGAAAAAAAAAAATTATTTCCAGCGCGTAGCTCATGGTTTTTTTACTCTTTCTTAGGTAATGGCTCGTTCTTCGCCGTTAGATAAGCATACACTGGTGAAGCACTTGAGAACCACGTTTAATGAAGTTGTGGCTGTAACTGGTGATGGAACAAATGATGCTCCTGCTCTTCATGAAGCAGACATTGGACTCGCAATGGGCATTGCTGGAACTGAGGTGAACTTTCATTATGCTCTTTTTCGTGGTCCCTTGTGAATGAAACTATCCATGGAGTGAAAGATTTTACAATCGACAGTGTTTTTAATGGAGGGTTTAGAATTGGGTTAATGGGTGGCTCGTTTAATCAGGAACGATTCTTATGCTTTCCTTTCTTAAGGGAAGTATATCCTTGTGTTGTTTGCCCATAGCATGATGAGAAAATATGATTAACATTGCCCATAGAGTTTGAGGTGTCTTATAAAAAAATTCTATCAGATCTACATACTTCAGGGTGTCGGTCAATGTTGAAAAATCAGGGCATGTTACAAGCGGACCAGACTAAAGAATTTCGTATGCATCTTACTTAGGATTATGTGCTTCTGGGTCTAAATTCTTTACCCACATGATTGTAGAGGGCATAGTTGATGGCAAGAGATAACTACGGCATATCATATTATAAAACTTATTACATTTTGGCGTTAATAACAAAAGATTTTACTTAGTTTATCACAGTTGATGGTTGGCTCTGTTGTCTTTATATACCTTGCTCTGTAACCACCTTACATTCGGCAAACTTTTTGCTGTCTTCAGCATATTAATTTGTGATTATTTTTCTGAACACAGGTGGCAAAAGAGAGTGCTGATGTCATAATTCTGGATGATAATTTCTCGACAATTGTGACCGTAGCCAAATGGGGGCGATCCGTCTATGTAAATATCCAAAAGTTTGTTCAGTTCCAGCTGACTGTTAATATTGTGGCGTTGGTTGTAAATTTCACTTCAGCTTGTATGACAGGTAAGGAAGTTTGTTCAGTTTCTCTTCTTTATACAGTAATTTGAAACTTATAATTTGATTAATTCACATGCTTGCAAATGAATGGTATTGCAGGAAGTGCACCCCTTACTGCTGTTCAACTTCTGTGGGTCAATATGATTATGGACACATTGGGAGCACTTGCACTAGCAACCGAGCCTCCTAATGACGAACTAATGAAGAGATCTCCGGTTGGAAGGAAAGGAAATTTTATTAGTGCCGTTATGTGGAGAAACATCTTAGGACAATCCTTGTATCAGTTCCTAGTGATATGGTTTCTTCAAGCATATGGAAAAACGATCTTCAGACTTGATGGCTCCTCTGATTCCGATTTGGTCCTTAACACACTCATTTTTAACTCATTTGTCTTCTGTCAGGTACTTGAGAAACTAATTCGAATTTACATTAATTTGAATGTAATTGTTCTATTAGTAATGGTATCCGTTCCTAAACGCTTATTGTTATCTCTGCAGCTCTTCAACGAGGTGAACTCTCGGGAGATGGAGAAAGCGAACGTGCTTGAAGGTATACTGGACAACTCCGTATTTGTAGGAGTTCTTGGTACCACTGTCTTCTTCCAGATCATAATAGTTGAATACCTCGGGACATTTGCAAACACGACTCCTCTTACAATCGTACAATGGTTCTTCAGCCTATTTATTGGTTTCTTAGGAATGCCAATTGCTGTATTCCTAAAAGGCATCCCTGTGGAATAGTCATGAATTCACAAGGATACATTTCACTGCAAATATTGTAAGATTCAACATTTTCGTTTTTCATTTTTTTTCCTGTCAAGAATCTTTTAATTGAATTCAAATTTGTAAGAATAACAGTAGTATTCTTCATTCAAGTTGTTCTTTCCCAACTCAAGAATAAGCTACAAGTAGGTTCCACGTCCCCATTCCTTATTCTTAAAAAAATGTTATTATTAATTTACATCATTACATGTAGGGGTCGACCAAGGTCCCACCTAAGCAGATGTGATGTTTAACAAAATAAAATTGCATGAATAACAAGTTACCTTTGAACGACACAAATCATCTAACGATATAAATCTACGACAAAATGTTACATGATCTTCGAATCCAGCCTTATAAAGAGAAGTTATATTCTTCCATATGAGTTGTGTTTAGAAACTTGAAATAAAGTACGTATTTGTGACAATGCATCAAAGATTTAAAGAGGATATGAACATGAAAGATTGATTATAATTTTCCTTATAGATTTTTCTATTAAAAAATGGTGGATGCTATTGCCATTGCCATTGACATGCCAATACTGAATACTCTTTCTCTCGCCGCGCCCGAGGTAAACAGATGTAAATGATGAAATGTGATCATACGAATTGACTGGGAATAGATGTTTACGTACACTTACTCGTTTTTGAGGTGCAAGTTGAACAATGTTGGCATCGAAACTGACAAAGATCCACCTAATTCCCACAGTTTATCAAATCATATCAAATTTCTTCTCAAACTCTCGCTCTATCTCTGGCCTAAAAAGGCCAAACGTCCGATTGCTACAAGAGAAGGGTGCCCAGAAAATCTTTAACATTTGAGATAGTTCTTTGGGAGATTGGTTGAGGCAATCTTGGGATTAATTATTGTACATTTAAACTGTATTAGCGGGAGAGGAGATCCGAGTAGAAATCTGAAATATAAAAAAAGATTTGCATTTTGGAATTCTTGTTGTGTTCCCATCTGCAAATTTTCAAGGTATTGGATAGTTCTTCTAATGGAAAATGTCAAATTGTTTATGTACCAGAATCACATAAACAACAAGAAAAATGAAAGCTGAAACCTTAATTATAAAGGTGATCATGGTAAAACATTTCTTTTTTCTGTGTTTGTGTCCATGAATCAATCGGTAGTTAAATGCTGTTAGCCAATTCCAATGGTAAGGGAAAAAAGAAGAAATTTCCCTTTTGATTAGAGAGGATAATACAAACATTCTGCAATGACATCTTTAATATTTTGCTGACATGACGTCCAATTGTTTGCTGAATAGAGTGACATATCCTCTCCCACCTCCATTGCCGACTCAAAAAGGCTTTATCTCAACTAAATCGAAGATCAGAGCATACTCCTCTGCCCAATGTACTACGAATCATTCATTAGACTGTCTCTTTGATGAAGATTATCTAGCAGATGTCTCAATCTTAATGGATTATGACAGCATCTGTTGGAAATAACGAAGAGGAGAAGAACGAGATGGAAACAAGAAATGAAGAATAAGACTTGAACATGTATGTGATACATTGTCCTAAACACGATATTTGTCTCCTCTAGTATGCTTTTAGGATTTCCGGCAAATAGTTTAGAGGATTGACAAGCTTTCAAGAATGAAGTACAAAAGCAAATATGATTATTTTTAGTCGAACTTGTTAAAAACTTGAAGAAGGTTTGAATATGTATTATAATATGAAAATCAATTGTAGAAAATGAATGACAAAATATTATGTTGTTTTCTTATATTTGGATTGAGAATCTATCGCGTATTTATAGATTTCTAATATTATACCACGAAAATGCTCCAAACACTCGTAAAAAGTTGAGAACTTTCCACCAAAAGTCACCAGAAATTCAGATGAAAAATCAGCCCATCATTTAAATTTTTTTAACCATGGGCACGCATGGTTATATCCTTGCATACGCATAGTAGAAGTAAAATTGTTTCAATTTCCTGTAGACAACTTCTTGTGTACACAATGTCATTTGACCCATGCTTAAACAAAAATCACCCAATATTGCCGTCCAATTTATCCAACATTGTCTTCCAATTTCATCATCTGTTTATTCATTTTTCAACCCAAATTTTGAAGAACAAATAATTATAATAATTATATAACGACATCATCTATGCACACACAAGTATTCTTGTAAGTTCTTCCTCGGTTTTCTCACAAATTTTTTATAGTTCTCGTCCATGGGCCAGTAGGAATTATGTCTAAATCATTAAATTCTTTTTAAGTCTTTAGTGTTGCAATTTGATGTTAAAAAATGCAGAAAATTCATGTTTATTTCCTGGATATCTACAAACATGGTGAAGCTTCTCCATGCTAAAGCAGCAGAGAGGCCGTGGACATAATCGTGAGCGAGCAATCTCAATTCGTGGGGTTCCACCCGAGGCTGTCCGAGTCTACGTTCGTTTCTTATATTCTTCCCGGTAACTTTCAATTTCTCAGTCTTTTTTCACCGGTATATTCATAATAGCTCCACTCTGCACTTCACTAATTGCAAGTTGTGTTTTCATAGCTACGAAGAAGAAGGAATTTGAACTTCCTTTACTGGTGTTGTCACGTGTATATGTTGTTCCTCGGCTGAAGCGACTGTGCGAGTTGTAGCTAGAGCAGAGATTGATGAATATCGAGAACGTAATCGATATCTTCCAGATGGCTTTGCTTCGTGATGCTCCTCAGATTAACCTCATTTGCCATCATTTCATCCTGAGAAATTTCAAACCAATTTCTTCCTCTGAAGGATGGCAAATAATGAAAATCAGCCACCCGAACCTGGAAAAGGAGATTACTGAGTCCGTAATTTATGAGGACGTTGTGAGTATATTCTCCATTTCTGTGATTTCTTTCTTTTTGATATGAATTCCTTGTTGATTTTTACTTGTTCAGGCGAAAAAGAAGAGGACGTGAAAGGTTAATGAGAGAAAAATTTATCTACAACTATACGAGGCAATAGAAGCTCTTGTACATATATGTAGAGATGGTTGTCGAACTATTGGCCCCACACGACAAGATATCTTAGACGACCAGCTCCTTGTAAGTACGAAGCTTGTAAGGGGTTAGAAATGCTTATTCGCCACTTTGCTCGGTGTAAGACGAGAGGTCCCGGTGGCTTGCACTCTCGTCTTTGTGCTGATTC